AGAGAGTGTTAGTTATAATACTAATGAGTTATTTAAACCAATTTGTAAATCAAGCAAACAGTTGAAAATGATTTGAGAATTGATAGGAAAATATGTGTAAAATGTGTAAAACAAGGAAATCATTGCGTGTTTTTGAATAACAAGACTAATCAAAAAAGACCAAAATATTGTATAAAAACATATTAATGATAATATTTAAAACTCCATTATATTTTAATATTGAAATGAACTCATTGTGAAGTGATATATGAATTTGGATTAAAATTGTCAATCAATTGATAAAACAAAAAATGTTTTTAGCGCTTAAATCACAAAAACCTTTTTGAATCCCTTTTGTACGATAGGAATGCATTTTTGGCACAAAAGCGATACATTAATTAATATATCGATTAACTATTGCTATTATATATTAATATATAAATTATTTTTCATTGTATAAAACAATTTCCCAAAAACGAGTTATCGATTATTAATTTTAATTTAAATTCGAGTCATTTTTAGTCCAAAATTTTCTAAATAATAAAATCTTATAAAGAAAATAATGAATAAAAAATATTAGGAATCGGTTTAAGTGTTTGCGATACAAGTCTTAAGTCACGTATAGATTGAGATTTGTCTCAACGATTGAATGCATTTGTTGTCAACGCGTTTGCGTTAATTAAGAAAATATTTGAGAAAATATATAAATATTTAACGATAAAAGATATTTGCGATTCAAACACGTAAACCGATTCATATTGTGATCACTTGTAATGTATTTATTTATTATAAATAAGAAGACATTTAATATATTATCAAATATTAAATTGCATTAGTTTTTGCAAATTTAGATATAAATTATATACAGATCTGTATAATTGGCTTTTCACTCATTAATTAAAGTAATACTTGAATAAAAATATAATTGTCTATAAATTATGATTTATTTATTAAATAATTGAAACACAATTTCGAAATAAATTTTATTTTATTTATAGATTAAATATTTTCAATATTTGATAATAAATTTAAACCTATTTTACAATAATATAATTGAATTATAATATTATATATCAATTAATAATAATAAGAATAGAATATAGTATTGAACTAAAGTCTAGACTTGAAGGCACATCAGATGTAGAAAACAAATTATAGTAATATTTATAATATTATGGTTTGTATCCATAGATAGAGTTAAAAGAGTAGAGTATTATAGAGTATTATAGAGAATTCAATATAATAGGAGTACACGTAAAATGACTGAAATGTGGCATCAAATGAATGAATCAAATAATGAATCAAAAATGCAAATATTGCACACTATTTGCCAATCAAACGCTGTATAAATATAATACAAAACTAATTGTAAAATATATTAATAATAATAATAATAATATAGTAATAATTGAGACATTGAGGGTATAAAGAGATGAGTGGTTTTCGGGATGTATTTGTGATGAAGTGTTCCCTTAATAGAGATCATAAGAAGGAGAGAAAGAACAACAAAATTGAGCCCAACTTTAATTGAATGAATAGATTCGTTAAGCATTTCTTCAATAGTTAATTATAAATATTTGTGAGAATTCCTTAAACTATTGCCAAACTGTAATAGCATTTGGAAAAATGCCAATCGTTTTGAATATTGTTGTAATTTTATGCAAAATATTGTAAAACATATTCTCGAGAGAAGAAGCGGTTTTAGATTCACTAATTCTGCAAATTTTGTATTCAATTAAAAAATATATTCTGTAAAATAGACGTGAATTTAACTCTAAAACGTGTGATCAAAATATAAGACTAATATAATAGCATTCAATAAATAATAATTTATATAAAATATAATTTTCAATTAAAATTTGAAATAAAAAGCAAAATATACTAAAATGAGAAACTAATTGACAACAAAATTATAAGGAGGCGGTCGCGAGCCATACAGATGGGGCGGAAGAGAGCCCGGAGACCAGTTGTCTTCATCCGCTCTGTTGGGCGGAGCGCTGGGAGCCGGGCCTTCGTTATGGCTTTTGCTGTCAAGACTTACAATTAATTTATTATTTCACTTCAAAATTCATTCTCAATTAAATTCAATTTTCAACATAAAAAAAGTTTAGAAATTTCCTAAATTTGAAAATTAAAACAACAAAAAGAAGATTAATTACTGCGCGAGTGGTATGTCGTCCTCATCCAAGTTGTCAAGCGTTGAGTCACTTAATAGTATAGAAGAGAGAGAGAAAATCGTAAATGCATTGAATAAAAAGACTCTTTGATTGCACGAAAACAACAAGTATTAAACAAATAGTCTATTAATACAATCAAAAACTTTAAATACATCTCATTTTATAAGATGTTACTATTTATCACATTTTCTCAATTATTCCACTAAATTCTTATCACATAATTATTCTTATCATTTAATTAATCGTAAGATTATTTTCAAAACAATAATAAAAAACACTTACGATTCTCGACGAATTGGTAAACGTTTAACTTTTTGGTATAAATTTGAGAGAATGTAAGCAAAAAAAGTCGAAGGAATACATATTAGAAGAGATGCCAACAGTGAAGACCAGTAGCCGTTCTGATTGTTTTATACATAAAAACAAAACAAAAAACACATTAAAAATATAATTCATTAAAACCTTAACGAAACGTACGAATGGCAAAACCGTTTCTTTACAGAGCGCCAAAACCGATGAATTATAGGCCCGACTCACGGGTTCGCACCGTCCGATTCCCGTTTGGATCTATTCATTTCAATCATACATTCATTTATCTTATTATTACTTCAATCATAATAACAATTACCTCTTCGATCACGTGTTGCGCGTATTGATCGACGAGAGCACTCATGTCCTCAACGAATGCTTTGGCGACTGAATGTATTTCCATATGACCTTTGCTTGAGATAAACTTTTGTGCGTCTTCTGCCTGTTTTAATAGCCTCGTGAGCGCCTCTTTCAGACCTTTGTTTCCGTAATTAGCTTTGCGTTCAATCTTTTCCGCGCCGGCGGTCAGTGTTTCCTTAAAATGAGACAAAAGTATAAAAATATGTAAAAACAAGACCAGAATCATTGCGTAACACTAAACATACAATAGTTTCCTTGATTTTAACGACCAAATTAATGGGAACTTTCAAATCCATGGCTATGTTTCGAAGTCTTGCAATGTTGTCGAAGTCATTCTTAGGCAGTCGATTGGCCTCCCGTTCCAGTTCTGTAGAGATGGAGACCAAGTCTATGGGACTAATGCTGTGTTTAATAACATTGGCATAACTCGAGAAATTGAGTGTTCCTAAAGAGGTCTCCTTTAGGCCCTCAAGCAGTTGATAGCCATCGCTGGTCAACAGAACCACATTCGATGGGTTAACGTTCACGCGATTCAAAAATGCTCTCAATTTTTCTTCAATTCTATAACGCTATGAAAGAAGACATTTGTGTAAACGATATAAGAATTAAATGAAATACAATTAATTGCTTACATCTTTAAACTGCAAGATCTCAGAGATGTTAAAGTTGTTAACAGTTTTGCCGCTATGTATCTGAATTTGATTGAATCGATTCAATTGCAAAACATTGAAAAGACTGAGATTCTGATGACATCGGGTGAGAACATCGGCTAAGTTTGGTTTCACGCCTTGAATCACGTCCAGAGACTCCGTGTAATGCATTCTCTCGAAGCGGTTCTGAACGATGCCGACAATCTGTTTGCTTTGCGGGTCCGACAGGTTATCCAAGTAATAGCAGACAGTTTTGTCGGAAACGCTTCCGACGAGGAATAAAGTAATCGATGAGAGAAGTAAAGGGAAGAACAATAAGACCACTAAAACAATTCCACAACAGAAGAAACGCGACGAAGACTTTGAACGCCACTTATAGTTATGACGAGTCGGCTGTTGATTACAAACACCGCATAACAATCCAAATGAATAGAGAATGAGTATTAGGGATAGTATGGAAGCGCCGGCCAAACAGGCGTACCATCTGTTTAGACATGAAATTAAAATACATTATAAAATTAAGTCAAGAGTTTTGTCAATAATGTATTCGCATATTACCGATAGATTTCGTATTTCTCGATATATGTCTGTCCCGTATAGACATTGGATTTAACTTTAGCCAAATCAGCAAACGGTCGTCTCAACACTTGGTTAATATCGTCGGCCACTAAACCCAAATCCAAACCTACGGCTCTAATCTGTTTCTTAATGTCGGGAATCGTGTGATTAACAGTCGCTTGAATTTTGAAACTAATTTCATCGAAAGCCTCCTTTCCTTTCCTAATTTCATTAACTATATTAGCGTTCAGTAAATTCGATATATTTTGCATTAATGGCGACAAATCGGGCAAATCGTCGATCCGAGTGGACACTGAGAACGACTCCATTACTCTGTTGTATTTGAATTTCAATTCAGTGCATACTCTGTCTCTGCATTGCTGCAGAAACTTATCCAAATCCTAATCAAAATCATTAAGAGTTGCATAGTTTAGGTAGTGTTCGTTAAAATGATAGAAAACTAGATTTACTTCTTTAATTCTAGAGAGTCTCGACTGCAACTGAACGGTCAGTAATCGGAGTTCAGTCGTTTCGCCCGATAGAGTCTTCAGATCTTCCAAAACAGATCCCAACTCTGAATAAAACAAACACATTAATATAATCAACAAAACATTGGATCAAATGATGTGATCACATACTGGAGACAATATCTGTCAAATTGTCTAAAGCGGCCGCTTCTGAGAGGATAGCGATTCTGTTTTTGACAATTAGACCACTTTTATCGAGACTATCACTCAATTCGTGTTCCAATTGATCGAAATTTGTTCGCAAAAGTGTATTGACTTCGAGTTGAGTGTTATTAAGATAAAGCATCAAATCGTCTGTCGATTGATTGAGTGCTTTTGGCATTTGTTTAACACCTGTACGGATGTACTCATTGGTAACGAAGGCACAGATCACGAAGAATGCCATCAATAATAACAGCACAAAGAGTTTGACAGCACTTATGCTGCGAACGCATGGATCGCAGACACCGTCCACTTTGTATCGCTTCTTCTTGTGTCCACTTCTTCTGGTCGACGGAGAGCTACTCGACGAAGAGGTATAGCTTCGGCTATGTTTGGCACGTCTCGAGCGCTTATCCGTTGGACCGCAACAACAGCAACAAATAAATCCAATCAATGGTATACCGATTCCCACACTTAATATCACAATCGAAGTCAATATAAGTCCCCAAAAATGGGTTATCAACTAAAATATCAGATCAACAATGAGTTAACAAATGAGATAATGGTATTGAATGGAAGTGAATGGTTGTGACATACCTTCCCTTTGTTGTGCTGGAGAACAGGTATGGGATCGTCAAAGAGTTCATCTTTGATAATACTCGACGGAAGTCCCGGCGATTGCAACAAATCGATCACATATTGCGTCAAGAGATACAAGTGATCCATACCTTTGCCACTGAAGACCGGAATGGCTGAATGCCATTGACTTTGACTCACACTTTGTTGCGGAGAAATGAACTTTATTTGACGCCACGGAATGTCATCATTCATTTGATCCATATTTTGTTCATTCGTGTGAATCGGTTGGATATGATTACAAAGAGTTGGCAGTGATTTTAGATTCAATACAAACACTACCACTAATGGGACAATAAATAGACTCTGAGCTCCGCTTCTGGACATTTGTCTGTCACTAAGCGCTCACTCGTCAGTCAATCAGTTGTGTTTGAACTACTGTTTTGGCGTTTCTTTGGTATCACTTCTTCTTATTCTTCTAAAACAATATTAAAATAAAAGTGAGATTTGGTTTCGTTTGAGTGAACATCACATCCAATGCTTTAGTCTCTCGGCTCTGACATTCAATTCACGGATCAGTTGTCTTATTGTTGTGACAATCGTTGGCTTTTGCAGGCAATGAACGTCTCTATAGATATACGAAGAAAGACATTGAACTCATTGTTAACAGTACTTCACGTTTACAGACAATGCAATAGAGAGTGAATACAAAACATTCAAAACCAAAACAATCAATAATTTAACCATAGATTCACTCATATGTATAGCTATAGTGAACACCATTTATAGTGAATCTCTCGCTATAATGGCATTCAATCTATGATTGCATTTAATAATCAATTTTGAGATACGATTCAAACGTAAGGAAAGATTTGTATGAATACCTGATGTATTGAATGTTAAGGTCAGTCAACACAACACAAACACATCGTAATTGGCTTTAAAACGGGTTTCGCAGCAAAAAATCAATTCAATTAGAAATATATTTTGAGCACAAATTTTGATCAATCGATGGTTAATATTGAATGATATGATGGACTAAATACTGATGGTATGACTGGTGTCGTGAAGTGGCGTCCAATGGATGGCCAAACGGGTGGACGATATGGTTATGTATGGATGTAATGGTCAATGAATGCCATCGACGCACACACTGGCAGTCGTTATCATTAAATGCCTGCAAATAATCACCTGTTTTTGCATACAATTCAATGCTATTCTCGCGTAGACTCTGTGTATCTCTCACTCACTCATAGACTACAGCCATAGACTGAATGAGTGAATGAATGAGTGGTTTAACGAACCCATCGATGAGAAGCTCTCATGAAAGAGGAGTCTCTCTATGACTGAACTTTTTGATCATTTCCTCTGCTTTTGCGTCAAACACACCAAACATACCCTTTATTTAGGGAAATGATTGAAACAATACTTCCCATCCTTTGCAACACAATAGCCTATATTTTGTATAAATATTTATGTTTTATTCATTAAATATTTCCCACAATTTAGTGATTCATTGGCTGTAAATGCAGTGTTAGTATCAGTTATACGAGATTTCAATTAGCGATTACTGTTAGTTAAAAGTTTTTCGTCTGTTTTTCATTAACTTATCAAACATTTGATAAAAGTTTGCATTATTTGACAGATTGTCTTAACTATCGTATAACTGATATAAATATTTACAAACTTTGATTACAAGATAAATGAATTAACTTATGAATTATCCAAATAAAACTTAAATGTTAATTAAATTAGTAATTAATTTACATCTAGACGTAAGCTTACAGTTATTTTGTATGCCATTAGTTATCGGAAGTAAAATTGCTTAATTGGAAAATGCATAGAAATGTATGGGTTTTGCGGCAATTCAATTGTATTTGTATTTAATAGTCCCTTAAATGCATTGAAATTGCATTTAATTAACGCATTAATCGGTGTTTTAATACAAATCAAAATGTTTGCCACAAATCACTGCCCAATAGTTGACACGATTTGCGCGTAATTTGTGTTTAAAAATAAGTGTTGTTTTCGTTGACGTTATTTAAAGCGAAATCTGAAAACAAAACTCAAAATCAGATGAAATGAATTGTTTTGACGACCAAATCGTTGAGTGAATCCAATCGTGAATCAAGTGATCGTAAATCTGGACACTTGTGATGTCTGTGGAGATCCCGCGAAGTCTGAAGCATTTGGTGCAGAAAGTGATGAGAGGTTTCTATCCCATCGAACACGTGATTGTCGTGGATCTGCTGCTCAGACGACGTCTGGTGAAAGAGGACGACATGATTGAACTGTTGCGGTTCGAGAGGAAGCACTTGCGGTCAGTGTTGGCCACTCTAGAGAAGGACAAACTGACGAAGAAGAAGCTGAAGATCGAGACGGCGGTGGACGGGAAGGCGAACCGACACAACTACTATTACATCAATTACAAGGCGTTCGTGAATGTCGTGAAGTATAAGTTGGATCACATGAGGAAGAAGTTGGAGTTGGAGGAGAGAGACCTCACGTCTCGCGCCTCATTCCTCTGCGACGAGTGTCACAAGACGTTCACCGATCTGGAAGTGGACCAACTCCTCGACATCATGACCGGCGAAATGAGGTTTGATTGCGGTATTGATTAGCGCGTCGACGGTATTGACTCCATGTTTGGTCCGATTAGGTGTTCATTCTGTGGCGGAGATGTGAAGGAAGATCCCAATCATATGCCAAAAGCCGACTCCAGACTACTTGTGGCCAAATTCAACCAAATAATGGAACCGCTTTGGCTTCTGCTCAAAGACGTGGAGGACATTCGCCTCTCAACCGATTTACTCGAACCAGAGATTCAATTGGCGACCGATTCGGGTCCGCAAACACAGGCCAACGCATCCAATAGTACGATAGGAAGACAATGGGGTGACAAGAATCGGGCCATTAATAGCGAATACGAGAATTCTGTTCTCAACGACGCCAAGAATTATACGATAAAAATAGAGGACTCGACCGGCGATGACGCGGACGGCGGCGCCGATCGGGAACTGATACAAGTGAAGAAAGAGGCGCCTTCTTGGATGTCCGAGAGTACTGTCACTAACATTAACAACACTATTAATAGCAATCATACGTCAGATGTGGTGTCGGCGCCGAACTCGTCGTCCAAACCCAACAAATATATCACTAAAACTCAATCCATCCAAAACTCGACCACCGATTACAACGAGCCCTCGAAAGAGATTCTCGAAACACTTCTCATTCACGAAAAACAAGTGGAGAACCCGACGGACGCCGTCTCTCTTCTGTTGAACGAAAATACAAATCATTCGTCAATTAATTATAATAGTAATGAAGACAATGAAGACGTTATAATGAGCGATGAGGACGACGATGATGTCGATGGACAGCAGCCGATGGTAATTGTCGGCAATCAGTCGATAGCGTTGAGTGAAGTGAACGATGAAATCATATCACAAATGAATGACGAGGAGAAGGAGGAGTACATCCGTCTCTCGCAACAAGTTTACGCTCATATGTACGACATTTAGATTGAATTTATATAATTTATTGTAAATTTGCATTTCATTACAAATCATAACATATTGTTTGCTTTCAAAGCGAAGGCATCTCTTGTTAATTGAAATATTAAAGATTATTTATCCAAATATTTCTTTATCGCTATTAAACAGATTTTTCTCATTTTTATATTTATTAAAAGTATATTTTTATAAATTGAATTAATTTCTGCCAATTTTTTAATACGGTATTTAAAATTGCTTTTATCTAAAACACAATGAACTCTCAATTGTTTGTGTTTTGTCGCATCAATTGTGTCGTCCGTTTTGTGGTTTTGATGGGAATATCAATAAAATCAATGGTTTCGATGACCGGAACATCCATTTGATTGATTTTGATAGGAATGCCGATCACATCACTCTCTATACGTTTGCCACCGATTTGTTTATTCACTTGAATGGGAACCTCTAATGATTGTTCACATATTTTAATGGTCTCAGTGGTGACAATCTTTTGCTGCATCGACTGGTCGTATGGTTTGGCCAATAGTTTGCGCACATCAGACACTACGAGCCCGTTGTGCCACGAAGTGATCCGGTGTTCATAGAGTTGCACCACTTCTTCACTCACAACAACCGTCTCATAAGTCGCCTCTTTCGATGTCTTCACTGTATTTGTCTTCAGATCTACTGATTTCTTCTTCTCTTTCACTACATTTCCATCATTTACTGAATTAACCTTTTTATCACTTCACTCACAACAACCGTCTCATAAGTCGCCTCTTTCGATGTCTTCACTGTATTTGTCTTCAGATCTACTGATTTCTTCTTCTCTTTCACTACATTTCCATCATTTACTGAATTAACCTTTTTATCACTACTTTTACTCGTTTTCGGATTCTTGTCTTTATTCATAACGATTGCGCAAATATTATTGAGAACCGATTGTGTGATAAAGAATATTCCACACAAAATGCATTTAATTTTAAATTATTGATTCAAAACGGGTTTGCATTAATTTTAAATAGTTATAATTGTGTCGCGTTTTTAACAATTAATTTCTCAAAGAAACACACAAATTGTCAAATCCTACCAAATATTGTTAAAACTTCAATCAAGTGTTGTTAGATTTTAGGATACCACCACACAAACAAATATGAATTTTAACCAATATTAAAATATCAATTATCATTAAATTAATTAAGTTATAAATACAGTAGTCTTTATATTATAATTTATTTTCATTTAACTTCATTCAAATTCAATAGACATTTAACTAATTAAAAAATTCATAAAATTAAAATCTGAATATATTTTACAACGTTTTTGTTTAATAATTATCGATAACGTAATGTTTTATTTGAAACCATTTTTCTTGATTATCATATATTTTCATAAACTATATGTGAATTAAATACTGGTTTATATATATTTATAAGATTTAGAGTCCATTTATAGTGAATAACACCTAAAATAAAGCTAACAATTACTGCCAATAGAGTAAACATTCAATTCATTATGTAATTTATATATTTGTGCCAAACATATCAATATTGATTTTAAAGTAAACGTATGGATAGTATTCTCCTGTCCCGAGATTAAGGCCTGGAATGTCATCGATGGGTCCTTGAGATATAGAAGTGTCCAAATGGGCGTACAGTTGGTTCAGCACATCCCGGAGCTTACGCTGCGTTCGTTTATTCGGATGAACCAAAACCGATAGGAAATTAACTGGAAGTCCGTATCGGAGGACAGATTCGACGAACAGACGCAACGCTTTGACGTGAATCCAAGCGATGAACGCTTCGCTGAAGTTTACTTTCAGCCATCGCAGGAGTATCTGATACTGACGTTTCAAGTCGTTCTCGATTTTCACGATCTCGTTCTTCCCGGCGGTGATGTCCTCTTCGTTGTATTGGAACTCTCGCACCACAAACCGATTCTCGCGGGCGTGAGCTTTGAACTCATCCACCACTTTGTTGAACAGCGTTATTGTGAACAACCCGTGATCGTTGTCCTCGAAGATCAGGTGCGACGATCGCGGGACTATCATGTCTGTCAACTTCTCGTACTTCGTCTGCCAGTCCTTGAAGTAGGCCTTCGGCACCACAACCAACAAAGTGGTCAAGTATTCCGAGCCTAAGACAAAGTTCTCGCGTTTGACTAATTCGCTCAAATTGCGGACCAATAGAGAACCCGTTTGCTTCCTCTCCAGCGACTGTAGATTCCCTCTCAGGTTATTATAAGTGGCGGTCTTTGACTTCATGTCGGTATCGATTTGTCCCAACTGTTTGTTTATGATGTCCTGCAATGACTTCAGCGACTGTTTGATCGGATACTTCGCTAAATCCCACTGAAATTTGGTCACATATTGTGCCAAATCCTGACCGTTCGCCTGAATGTGTTCACTGATCTGTTGCGGACTCCTCTCCTTGGCGTCCAGTGTGTCGGCTATACTGGCGGCCAGTTTACGACAGATCACCTCCACATATGTGTCCAACTTATTCAAGTCGTCCGATAGGCCGACCAATTGGTCCAGAGTTCCCACCTTTAGGTCCGGGATATGAAACTTGAAATTCTTGCAGAGATCCGACTGACGACTGGTCGTCGCGTTCAGCGATTCCCACGTCTGCTGACAGGTCTTCTCTCCCGGCGCTGATATCAACCAATACTCGTGTCCAGACATCTCATACCACACGCTCTTCGGGACAATCAATGAAACGCTAATCAAATCAATCAAAACATACATTTAGTGGGCGTTTCTCTCGACACACGAATTAATCACACATTTTATAACACAATTACAAAACACACAACAATTTACTCACAATTATTTCGCGGCTCTTGTAATGAGTGATGCGATCGGCGTTTGGTTTTCCGATTTGTAAAACCAATTAAACAATTAATAAACTATTGATTTGTTATCAAATTTAATGACAAAACACAACAAAAACAGTTCAACACATCTATGGCTTAGAGTTTGCGTCGATTTGAAGGTCACGTGATCTGCGATTCGTAACCCTTTTGGCGATCATTCATAACAAACGTGTCGTAAAACTAATGTCAAAATCAATACAAAACCATTGATTCGCGACTTAAAGGGGATTCACATTAACTGCACGTTATTTATGGTCACAAATAATTACAAAGCCTTTTAAACACAGCATTTATTTCGCACTAAATTTACACATTTTTTTGGTGTTGTTTTTAATTGAGTTTTAATTATATACGAAATAAATAATGCATTTTAATCGCCAGTTTTAATTAGATTTTATAAATTAAAAGCGAGTTTTAATCGGGAATCGATTGAGTGATGTCTACAACACATCCGCAGGACTTCTATTCAGTGATAGTAAGCGCTCAGCAAAACGATTGCCAAACAAATTATGGCAAAGCGTTTGTCCTCTATTTGGATGGCATTCACGGACTCATCGATTACCTCAAGACACGGGCCGTCCATCACATGGACACCATTGGCACCAAACATATCGATTTGAAACTCGTCAGTGGAGTCAAGACACTGAAGAACTGCACCGAAAGGCTCGACATTATCGCCAATTCTTGTAACGAAAGTCATAACAATAATAATGGCATCGATTTGAACGATCCATCGGAGGAAGAGTTGGTCACGAAGTTTGGCGACCAATCCATCGATACTATAGATTCGTCAGTCGATAGCATATCATTGGATTTGCTCAACACTAGTGTACAAAATGAAGCCAATAGTAGTGTCGCGAGTGATTCACTGCCGAAGACATCGCCAAACTTCCAGAAGGCGTACAAAGAGAACTCGTTTTTGCGGCGGATATACGACCGCCGATTGCGCTCAACAATAGATCCGCTGAAGAGGGCGTCGCTTAAGTTAGAACTTCAGCGACGATTCATCGAAAACATAGAATTGGCTAAAAATAAAGACAAAGAACTCTACCATTCGCTGCATTTGTCGCAACGAAAGTCACTGGAATTGGCGGCCAAGAAGTTAGTACAGCAGCAGAACGTCTTGAATCTGAACAACGAGTCCATGATTGTCGACAACCAAAGCCAACAACAGCTTTACGCACAGATATTAGACTTTGAGTCCAAGAACATAGATCTCAGTCAACAGTTTCGTTGCCTTAGTCTCGATATCGATAGGAATGTTATGAACCAAATCATAACCAAAATACTTAGCATTAGAGACCATCCCTTAACTCAATGGACGCATAAATTTCAAACACAAATCGTTCACATAATTAATCCATTACTTCGACAGTATCTTAAACGTCGATCTATTGCTCAAAGTTTTGATGAAACTGATGGCCAGAGTTGCCATTCGTTGCAATCGCTCAATAATATGGACGTCTTGGAGGACATGAACATTGAGATCACAGATGTTGAGTCGGAAGCGTTGATCCGTCACTTCCAGAACATAACCAAAGACATCGCCGTATCTCACGAGACGATTACATTAATGTTGACTTTAATACTATTTGATAATCAATTGTATTATCAGCCGTCGAATAATGACATTCTTCGGGAACAGCATTCTTCCATTCACTCGATTGTCTCCCAATATATTTATCCTCCGATTTGGTCTGCGTTTAGATTTTTATTTCGTATTGTTTTCCACAAACAAGAGATGCAATTCAGGAAAGGAGTCAACCATTTGTTAGTTACTAAAGAATTAAACAAAGATCTGAGCGATGATTATAACGAAGAAGTGATGGCAGAAGCGGTCGATTCGCTTAGAACTGTCATTCAATTTCGGTCTCCGTTTGAAAAACTCAAAGCAATGGTACGTTTGACACAAGAATTGTGTTCAAAACTTAAGTCTAATTGCGAGCACTCGTCGGAAGTGTCGGCCGACGACTTGATCCCCGCCTTATGCGAAGTGGTGTTGAGATGCGGTTCACAACAACTCATATCTGAATGCTATGCAATCGAACAACTGGTGGACGAGAAGTACCTGTTGGGCGAAGAAGGGTATTGTCTTTCATCGATTCTGACGGCTTTGAAATACATTGAAATGCATTCATGTGTTGAGAATTGCAATAAACCTGAGGACGACTGCAATGAATAGTTAATACAAATGTATATTTTATTCCAGTTTTACTTGCATTACATTTTTAAACAGATTATTATTTTAGAATTTAACATATTTTAAGTGCATTTAAAATTATAGTTTAATCATTGTTTCAATTACTGTATGAATTGTGATCTTGAATTTGAATAAAATATTATGAATACTTTGGTATAAATGTTTGCAAAAACGATTGAAAGACAACTTTATTTTGAGTGAAAAAACTGTGAAATATGTTTTAATTGTGTGTATAAAACATATAACTGTAACACGATTTGTGCCATTATTACCACGTTATGCATAATTGTCTCATGACTTAACTGTAATTAATTTTAAACATTTCATTGTTTTGTGGCATTTGTTTGAATTTTTTAATCGAAAATATACTTCGAATACATATCTAACCGTTGATTACAAACAATCACTTAATTTGTTCCCAAGTTTTTAGATACTGAAGACTTATAACAGGTATTGATTGGCAAACAGTTGATTGTTTACTGAGTTTTAATTGTTGTTTAAATTATCTCACATTTTAGCCACAGATCTAATCGAAGACCACACCAGCGATGGCAGCGATAGCGGACACAAAGGGCACCGAAGAAGTCGGAGCCATAAAACAGGTATTGATTGGCAAAGAGTTGACTCTTTACTGACTTTTAATTGTTATTCAAATTGTCTCATATTTTAGCCACAGATAGATCTGAAGCCGACACCACTGAAGACATCGGTCGCGATCACAGATGACAGCGAAGAACACAATGTCATAAAACAGGTATCGATTGGCAAACAAATGAGATTTTATTGAATTTTAATTATGTTTTTGTCTCACATTTTTAGCCAAAGATTTACGCGAAGAACTCATTCGATCGTTTCGGTGATGACTTGTGTGGACTCATACTGTCGTACTTTTCGCTGAACGAGCGCTTTGTCTGCGAATGTGTGTCCAAACAGTTCCAGAGGACTGTCTTCAAGAGTGTTGTCGACATCACTCATCGAGAGTTATTGCGGCCGAATATCATCGAAAATTTGGCCACAATTGACCACACATTCACACCATTGACTCCAGAAGAATGACAATCAAAGAGTACCAGCGATTTCGAGATAACCCACACTTGTGTCCATTCAATACCAATAATCAGTCCCTAAGAAGTACTAAATCTTGGAAGAGCTGTGAATCTCACGAGAGTTTGGTTGAAACGGCCGAACAGTTGTCACGATTACCACAATTACGAGATTTGACACTCGATTTAAATCTAAAGTACGGCCAGAACTCACTGAACGACTCTTTGCGGACAATCGACCAGAAGTGCCCGCAATTGAAACGATTGGCACTTATATTGAGATCTAAAACAACTCTTCGATTATATCACCACTCATTGGATTCGTTGATATTTTATCAAAGATTAAGACGTTTTGATTTAACACTATGTGTGGGAATCAATGACACATTTTTGGATCCGTTGAAACTCTGCCATCGATTAACACATTTATCGATCAAATTCTCGCAAATCAATGACACATTTCTCGACAATAGCGACAACCATTGGCCGCGACTTCAATACCTAAACATTGGGCTAAAGAATATCACTCGCGAGGGATTGGATGGCATCGCAAGACTACCGGCGCTGCAGATACTGGTGTTGAGATGCGATACATTTAGTTTCATGGATAGTGTCTGCGAATACGTGTTGGCCGGAAGTCCTAAACTGAAGACAATTAACATAAGCGTCAATCACTTGTCAAAGTTTTATTTCCGTAAAAGCGCTGCAAATGTTTGATTGAATTGAAAAACAACTTTATTTTATTTAATATTAGTTTCAAAGCATTTTAATTGTATTATTTATTATTATTTTCTAAATTTGTATGTGATTTAAATTTGTGTTTTATAAATTAACATTCATATTTATATTTATCACATTTGAAACCAAAAAAAGTTAATTTTAAAACAAAAAGTTTTGAATGCATTGAAAAATAGCGCCAAAGAAGTGATGCAATGAATGAATGCATTCACTGTTTGTTGTGTTTTGTATTTCATAACACTTTATAAACAATACATTCACTCATATTATGACCACATGTTTGGACACAAACACTGGCGAACAGTGAACACCTCTTCGCGCATACCATCCATGAGATAAGGGGTGACCCCAGAAGAAGAGTGTCCGGTATGTCATCTGATCCTTCATCGAGTGAGACCAGGGATGACGAGACGCTTCCGTTGGGTGTGTTTCTGGTCAAGAGTGACAGCAAAGAGGAGAAATTGCTCTTCAGATACCCCTATGCTATCGACCAGACGTCCAGACCGTCGGCCACCGCCGCCGCCGTCACCACCGCTGCCAACAAACACAACAAATACTCCATTATTATCACTGAAGACACGTTTAAGAGCGAAGACACGGCCGCCGGCGGTCTCGACAAACCCATCAGCAAAAGCCAACAAATGCTCTCCTATTCAGACCTGACGTCTTCGATATCCACTCAATCGGTGAACACATCCACTAATGAGACCATCGCTAAAGTGATTGGCATTACAGACAACTCCTTCTCCAATCTGTTTGCCGTGAATATCAAACTCTGCGGACAGAAGTTTGAGCTGAAGGTGAATGACATCCGTTTCGTCGGCCATCCGATGCTTCTGACCCGCGGACAGAAAGAGCTGTTGATATTCAACGTTGTGTTCGCACTGAAAGCCAACGCCAGTCACGATATCGTCAACTGTTTCCACGAATTGAGCCAAAAGATAGCCATTGGTCTGCATTACGAGGAGAATCGGTGCGGATATCTGAGCGCTGAGACCAAACTGATGGTCGCTCTTCACGACGAGGTGACGGCCATGACTGAGGACACGATGCACGACGAGTCGCCCTATAAACTCATTTTAGGCAAATCCCGATTAGCGAAGGATCTCAAGAAAGTGTACGAAAGCCTCTCGACTACCGGTTTGGTGAGAGTGCGGCTCAACCGCTGGATTGAAATCAGTTTCTGTTTGCCTCAGAAAGTGCATCGACTTGTTCTCAAAGATCACACGACTGTGCCTTCGATATCGCCCGAGAATATCAAAAACTGTTTGCAAGGCCTGCGGCCATACCATGCGATCCTACTTCTGGTCGAGACTCAAGAGCTGTTGGATTCGCTACCACAGGACGCGTCGCCCGCATTCATTCGGATCGTGAGGTTTGCGAATCCCATCAAAAACCTGTTGGAACTGTCGGCCGACGCGGACATAACGCTCACTCAAGTGTTTCATATTGTGGCACAACTGGTCTATTGGGCCAAAGCCACAGTCATTTACCCGTTGTGTGAGCACAACGTCTATACCATTCATCCATTGGCGGCGACGAGTGTTGACTCGCCATTAGTACAACAGTTTAGGGATAAGTTTGCCGGCAGTGAATCGCTTCTTAAATATCTGTCAAAATTTTCGTTAAGCATGTCTTTGAGTCAACTCAGGAATCCAATGGATCCGCAGTATCAACAGATTCTTCAGGTCTGTCACAATACAGATTTTATGGATCATTATTTGACCGATACTTTTATGAACCATAGGTACAAATAGTGGTTTGGATGCTAAAGCATCGGCTCCTCCTAGAGCTGCACACATATGTCTTTTTGGTACCGCTCTCTCAATCGTCGCCTTACATAACACAACGCATATCGCAATCGCATTCAGAGCGTCCGCAGAGTTCGCTGACGGCCACTGACGTGGATGTGGTTGAGTTCAGTGCCGGCAGCTCTTTCCCCAGCGAAGACTCGTTGGCCACGAGTCCGGCCAACGCCTCCGGTCTCCACCACTCGAGCAAAAGCACTTCGGAGGACGACTTGTCTTCACCCAAATTCTCGAGCTCTATAGTGGAAGAGTCGGGCAATGCTCTGCTCCGGGAGATCGGACTCTCGCCGACAGAGATTGAGTCGATTCTAAGAGTTCCCGCCGCGAAGAACATCGAAGATCTCAAACTGTTTGCCAAATTGTGTCCTTATTTTAATGGTAGACATCATTTGGAGGACATTATGTATTACGAGAACGTAAGGCGCGGACAGTTGTTGGCAGTGATTGACAAGTTTCGAGACGTGCTCTTCACGTGTCAATACGAGGACACCTCTGTCTCCGAGTTGTGTCCATACAATCAAATCACATAAACGTAATCATTATTATAATTATTTCATTATTAAATCATTGAATTTGTTTCAAATTTTATGTTATTTATATATTTTTATAGCAATTTATCATATTTAATGCATTTCTAATTATAGTTCATTTATTATAAGCATAATTATGCAAATGCAAATGTTATATAATATTAGGTATAAATAATTCTTAACTATTTTTCATTAATGTTTAAAATAAACACAATTTACAAAATATGAATTATTTATTTTACATTTATTCAAGTGTAAGTCTAACTTAAATTGGTTTATAAACTAAATTAATTTGTGTGAAAATTAATTTATATGATTAGGTAAGAACTACAGGTATATGGTATTCATGGTTTCAATAGATATAACTACTTTTCTCATTGATTTTAGGTCAGAATATATCGTCAATAAACAATATATACTGAAAATGCACTCAAATATAATGTCAAACACATAAATATTGTAATTTATTTGTTTTAAATTCAGAAAATTTAAATATTCAATAGTATTAAAGGCAGGAATAAGTGGTATTAAATGGGAAGATATCTCCACTTTATGGGCGCAAAAGTGTGCATTTCATTGATTTTTTGCTTCACTCCAAACGCTGCCAGTGTTTCGCATCCCTTCTCAATGTGATGCTAGCATTCACTGAGTAAAGTCAGAGCACACATACTCTCCTCTATGGCTCACATGTTTTGTTTGCCAATCCTTACACTATCTCATCATTACAACAGTATATAGACTTATAATATACACAACACTTCAGTGTATATATTAATAAATAGCTCTATATATACGTAACTACAGTATGTTCTCCATATGTACAAAAGTTTTATAACTAATCAATCTCTTTCTGAAACTAAAGTTTCATATAAAATATATTGTAAATAATGTTTACAAGAAATATAGATATTTCCAATTCTTTAAAAGTGGACAAAAAAGATTTTATTGAAATACTTTTCTCTATTGTCGTCGCATTGAGCGTAATATCAAAGTGTTTGGTTTCATGTGAAACAAGTGGTAAGAGAAAAAAGTTTTACGATATTTATTATAATCACAAAACTTATAAAAATAAATTGACTATTAATATAGGATTATCTGATTTGGATCGATGTAACCGTACGGTTGAGATCTATCAGACAGTGTCGGGTCCGCCGGTGACCGACGAGAATCGAGGCAAACCAATGCACTGCACATATCGTATACGAATTCGGCCTCAAAGAGACGATTGGGTTGTATTCGTGCGCTTCACTCGTCTAAAAGTGGGCGAACCTAACGATGACAGACAGAAGTGTATCGGAGGGTACGTCCAGATCGTCGATGGGTATCGAGAATCCAATTATTCAAATAAAGATCATTCCGGTTAGAGTCGTGTGTTTCCCAAATACTTATATAAAAAACTATAAATAAATCTCTGCCTAAAAATAGAAATGATTTATTTGATAATGTTTTTTGAAAAGTATTGCATTTCAAATCAAAATCTATTCAAATATATGCTAATAAAGGGGTGATTTATTTTGCAATGCATGCGATTGTCTGTTGGGCTCCGGAATAGGTTACTACTGTGGAGAGATCGATACGCCCAAGACGTTCATCTCGGAAACGCCATACGTTAAGGTCGTCTTTCATACGGACGACTATCAGACCGATAGCTATATTCAATTTGATGCTAATGTTGAGCAACAAAACTCGGTGAACAGTCGTTACGGACAGTTTCATCAACTGTATCCACACAGACGTGGAGTGCCTATCGCTGGCACTTACTGTGAGAAGACATATCCTGATTGCTCTCCCGGACCCCGTTGTACAATACAATCTCCCGGTTCGTCCTCTCCATTACATTACACTATCACTACATTATGTATTCAAACATATTCTGCTCCCAAACTAGAAGTTTTAAGTTTAATACTTGATTAGCATTTTGTTTAAAATAAATAAATAACTGACAAAACACTTTTCAAAAAGCTTTTATCCTCATTGGAGACTCGCTTTGATAAAAAGCCTTTCGTTTCTCTTAAACGAGTCAAATATTTCCAGAATTAATTGAAAAAATTCAATAAAATTTTTCTGTTTTTCAATTCAATCAAACATTTTAAAGCTTTTAAAACTAATTCTGTTTTAGTCTTTACGTGAAAAATATTTTTAAAAATACAATAATAATATGACATACGCTTAACGTTTAATCTTTAGCCAAATTATAAATTACTGTTATTTATTTTTTGTCGGTTAAAGTGTTGTTATTAATAATGTTATTATTATTTGTTATTATAGGTTATCCGGGAATATACGGCCGAAGCCTTCGTTGTAGGTCTGTATGGCTTTTATATGAAAAATATTACCAAAACTCAAGCTCTTATAAGATTGAAGACGTTTTGCAATACATTTTTCTTGTTATATTATTTACTGTCATTTTTGTCTATACTCTCGGATATTAGAGTCCATTAAAGTCTTCCCACATTTCCTCACTTTTCCCCATCCATTGGCCCTAATATTTCTGTTTACAGAATAATATATATAATAAATAAATACATGTTTTTTGAAAATAATATTTTAATGTATGCTTTTTGGGTATGCATTAGGAGAATATTTTACTGTAAAAATATATATTCTAGCCGTAAATGTATTAAATTTAAGTACGATATGTGTTATGCATTTGTTGTGTTTCAGATACTACCTGAACGCCAGACAGAGTTTGGTTGGCCTGGAGTTGAGTGCATTTGATGTGGACGGACAGGCCTGCGATAACCTGTTAATGTGTTTTCCACGTCCTGTTAGTACTAAACAAAGTGAGTGTCCCTTTGATTTCGTACGGATTTATGACGGCGTCGATGACAACAGTCCTGTCATTGCGACTCTTTGCGGAAAGTGAGTCTCAAATTAAATATAAACTCTTATATTATGTCGATATATATAATGTAGACATTATTGGCAGCGCTTTTCCGAGTGGTTTATCTCTCTCTCTCTCTCTCTCTCTCTCTCTCTCTCTCTCTCTCTCTCTCTCTCTCTCTCTC